GCAATTGGAGAGCCACAAGAAAGAGTTTGCTGAGCACAAGGAAGCCACTATCAAGGGTTTGGAATCGAATAATCAGGCTTCGGTGATGGACTTTGAATTGTGTTTCGTGTGTTTTGTTTTTGCTGCTTGGTACTGACTTTGGCGTTTGTTGCATCCTTTGTGTTCGCCATTGGCTGCCACTGAAGAAAGCCTGAACACTGAGCAGCGCTGCCCATAATCAAATTAAGCCAGCTTATTATTACGGGTTTGTACCCGAGTTTCGATACATATCTTAGTGACTCAGGCTCGCATCAGGGCTGATCGTTTTCTCCTTTTTCTGGTAGAGGAGTGTTCAACTGTTTTGCTGGAGGCTGCGCGGGCAGTTGCTTCTAAAATGGAAGAGGAACGGCAAGCAACTTTGAAGGCGCTGTAAGAGATGAGCGGGGATTTTGAAGAATAGATTCACTCACAGTACTCATGAATTGCTTTGCACTCAGCAACAGAAACAGGACGTTTGTTCCTTGATTTCCCTGTTTTTTTCTTCTACTTCTACTTCTACTCGATTGCCGCGGCAGGATATGTTTGTCCCAATTGCCTCCCTCATTGCCCAGCTTTTTCAGATCATGATTCTGATCGGATTGGCCTTCTTCCGTGAGGAATGTCCTCCTCAAAGTGTGTTGCCACGGTATCCTTATCTTGGGGTGTGCCCTATTGACTGTAACGCTCGGTAAACAATTATCACTATAGTTTAGAGGAAGGCCTTTACTAACCGTCATCATCCACTGTTGCAGGGAACGGGATATATCCAATCTCTATCCTCCACCTACGCTTCCTCACTTTGTAGATCGCTTCTATTTCCTTCTTGTGTCAGGCTGACAATTTGATGTTGGCCTGCAGAACGTTAACCTTCCCTAAACATGCCAAATCAATCATGCGGCGAGAAGCTCTCCCTTAGGGCGGCCTCCCAGCATGCAGTCCCAGAAGCTTCCAAGGTCTACTACTAGCTTACTACAGTACAGCCTACCCGGCCCTGAAAAAACCTTCTTTTGTGCTGTTTGTTCAGTTTCGAAGAGGCCATGGCGGAGGCAGAGGAGCGGCAAAAATCCGCAGTGCAGAGTTGCCGAAGCGAGGCGAGTGAAGGGCTGCTGACAGCGGCAGAGGCCCTGGCCAAGCATCACCAGGACTTCCAAACCAAGCTCCAGGACGACACCAAATCAAAAGAATGATACTGAGAAAGTGGAGAGAAGACAAGAAGAGACAATGATTGTGTTGCAAGTGTTAAGCATAATATTTGGATGCCAATCCTATCACTGTTTGCTGTTGAAACTCGTGATGTTCAGAGTAACTTTACTCTTGCGAAGACCAAACATGATAAACATGGAGCTGTGACCGGAACCATGCGTTGCCCGCAAAGCACTTAGCAGGCTAGCGCAGCAATGCGCAGCATGTCATTTTGGGGGTCTCAGAGTCTCGTCCCTAATCTTCTGGCCTCCACTCTTCAGCCTCGCCGGCAGTTGCTGGAAGCTGATCGTTTTGGGCGTAGTAGCGTCCTTGTTCCTGGTAGTAAGGCCAAGAGCCCCTAGTAGCTTCTTTGCTCCTAGTAGCGATGCCAGGAGCCCCTAGTAGCGTCCTTGCTCCTAGTAGCAATGGGGGCCTTTGCCTGTTTCTTCCAATCTCTCTTCTGCTGATTGGATCTCCATTGCACGTCTTTCAATTCGGTGTAGATTGCAACTGAGTCCAACCGTCGATCTCATCAACCCATAGATTGAACATATTGAACCTATGCCACTGAAGCGATGTAGTAGTTGGTTTTGTTGATTTGTTTGGTGTTGGTTTGACGCTTGGT